AGGAAATATTAAAATGAAGGTGAAAAACTCTGAAAGTAGGATGAAATACCCCTCCCCTCAATGTACAAAACTGCTGAGCTTCATTACACAGTTTTTGGGGATGCTAGCAAGTTATGCCTTGCTTTGCTCTTGCTCAGAATTCAGCACATCAACATGATTGAGTGTAGCCATGATATTTTCTGGAAAATCCTTTTGCTAGGATATTAAGTTGTTTGTCCTAGAGCCAGTTCTTATAAGCCCTAGAAAAACACTTAATACACCCAAGGATAGCTCAGCTACACTTTGGGGGCATAAAATAAGCAGGATGGCTTCTGCTGTTGTGTTAGAAACAAAAAAATTTAATAAAGGCAAAATAACAAACAGAAAAACTCGAGCCAGGTACAGAGGTCTGCCCCTGGTAGAAACACTTCACACAAAAGCCCCTCTTCTCCTTTGTTCTGTTCTTTTCTACTTGATTGATCAGGCGGGACTTTTTGGCTTCTATCCAATTAGATGTTCTCTGGTGTTTGGTGAAGTCCCTGAGGCCCTATGAGGTGGCTTTCCACCTAACAGTTGAGAGAAGCTTCTGGGCTTCTTTCCTTTTTTGGGGGACAAAGGTTAGTTTTTGCCACTCTGTCATTAGGGGGCGCATTCCTACACTAGGATTTTTCTCCTGAGAAGCTGAGGAACCTCAGGAAAGAAATGTAAACAATAATTATCTGCTGCTGTGGAATGCAACAGGTGCATCTGTGATTGGTGCATGTTGGTTGTTTCTAATTAATGGGCAATCACAGTCAGCTGGCTCGGACTCTCTGAGAGTCACCAGCTTTTGTTAGCATTCCTCTCCTGTTTTTTCTAGCCTTCTCATGGATCCTTTTCTCTCTATTCTTTTAGTATAGGTTTTAGTATATCATTTTAATATAATATATATCCTAATATAATAAATAAGCCTTCTAAAACATGGAGTCAAGATTCTCATCTCTTCCCTCGTCCTGGCACCCTCGAACACAACCATAGTTGAGTTATAGCCAGCATTATCTAAACGTTGAGATCATTCAAACAATCTCTCCAGGATTTTGCAGGAATGCCTCACCCTTATATCAGCACCAGATAAACATCAAATCCTATTTATACCCCAGTCTTTTACCTCAACACAGGAGGATGTAATTCATACTCTATGTGACTTTGAGAGACCAAGGTATTTCTGAAATCTCAAGGCAGTAAAGATGGAATAAACTGAGTTTTAGTAGAGTGAAACTGATCAAAAGAGAGGTGATCTTCAAATAGTAATAATGAACCTTAACTACAGACAGCCTTGTACCCTCTTACCATTAGACTGTATATACTTAAGGCACTGATAAGATAAAAGATTTTACCTTACATATACAAAGGGCAAGGTAAACTACACATTTTATCAACTATTAGGTCTTTTAAATAGCAGGGATGAGAATTCCCAAAGGCACTGCTGACCACATCATGCAAGTCATCTAGTAATCATGATCCAGCCTACAAGACACACAAAGAAAACTTTTGTATATGAAACATCATTTCAGAATCTCACAAGACCAGAAAGCTCTCAGTGTTTCAAAAAGAGATTAAATGTTAACTCCGTTGGTCTCTTTTGTCTGAAATTCACTCTTTCTATGAAATTCAACACCACACAAAGAGCCAGAATCAGGATTAAGGATCTCATAAACCCCATTTGATTCCTTAAAAAGGCTTCTGTGCAGAAATGAATTTCAGTCTCTGAGAAAAGTTGTACTATTCACAAAAGCATGGGGGGGGGGACCTTTAGAATGACTATGAAAACTGTGCTCCAGGAAACTTTTAAAACTTTTTTTTGGAAACATATTTTTCTAAATGGAGATCTATGTTCTTTAAAATAGGCATTGAAAATAGAATCCTAAAATGTTTTCACTTAAAAAATTGTAATTATTAAAGTCAATTTCTTTGTTGCTACTGACTACAAGAGTGATAACAAAAAATTACAAGAATCAGGTCAAAGTCAGCCAGCATCTAAAAGGGCTTTTGGGGAGACTTACCATTTGCAGGGATTCTCCCTAAAACTAGGGAAATGGTCTTCCATTGGCAAGAAATAGGAGGCAGAGAAATGCAAGATAGTGAGTCCCTTGTAATATGCTTTTCATGTACCTTGCAGGATGTTGAGTTCAAGGAAGACAGAGAGAAAGAATAAAAAAATAATTTAAAAAAAATGGAAAGAAGACCTTACAGTCAATTTCTACACTTCAGGTCTAATCTTACTTGGGGACCTCCCCATGAGTGCTAGCAGCTCTTTCTGGTGATGAAACTGTTATTGTGTGGTTAATTTATGTCTCTATTTAATGCATGACATAAATGGACTGAACAGTGCATTTGGTGAAGGGACAGGGAGTTTCTGGTGATGTAAGCTGGTAACCAGTAAAAAATCCCTTCTAAGGAACAGCAATGCTGAAAATTTATTTCAAAAGCATTAAAGCTCATTGTCATGGGTGCCACTGCCTAAACCCCTTGTCAGACTCAGAGGTGGTTTGCCACTTCTGCTCTAACACGCTGTTGCAATCTGTCAGAGAGCAAGAGCAACTTTGGTGCCTGTGCCAGTCCCAGCAGACTGGCCCCTCTTCATATGTTTAAAAGTCAAAAAGAGCTTTTTAAGATGTTTTATTTGTTTTGGTTTTTTTTCTTTTTTTCCATTTGGGGTAAATTCCAACACTACTGTTTGGGCATGAGCCAGCCTAATGCTCAGTGTGCCTGGGAGTCATGGGGTGTTTGCAAATGCTGCACTGCTGCAGGAAACACTCCCTGGGAACTGCAGGCTCTGAGCTTCCCATTGCTTACCTTAGGGAAAGGAGAATACCCCAAGCAGGAAGGGTCTGTTTTGTGGAAGGAATGTTCATATAACCCTGGACATCACTGAACCCCAGAAGAGCTAAAAAGCTCCAGAGAAACTACAATGTGAACACAGCAACAGCCAGACAACTAACAGACCAGCTGGAAAGCTGCAGAGCAAATATTCAGTGGCTAAAGCAGCCAGTGACAGAAGGGGCTACTGGGGGCTGCCACTTAAAATAAAGGTTTCAATATAATAATTTTTCTCTTATCTAAAGTCATAGGGAACAGGAATACCCCAGTAAAATATAAAACTCTGTACTGGGGAGATGCTGCTACCATCACATGGCATACTAACTGCACAAAGTCAGGAAAAATGCTATGGTACACCAGAAAATCAACTGCATTTATTTTCTATGAGACAAATGAGTTTGCTTAATGTGTACAGAACATATTAAGATACTTCGGGAGGAGTTTTGATTAAAATTTGTCTGTTGGGAAAACTTCTGTCTTCTGACTGAATTCTGCTACTAAAAATCTAACGTTGCACATGACCCCATGCTGTCAACTCCCCTGGGATTGGGGCTCACCTGAAAAATCATCAGGATATAAATATTGTGAATAGTAAAAACTTATTGTGGTCCTTCAGACGCCAGTATTCATAACTGAAACTCTTCATGTCATTGAAGTACGGGAAAAATGTATTTACTACATATTTTCTTTAGTTACATACAATATTTTAATTGTAATTACGTTATTTCGTCCACTGTACTACAGGAGTAAAACCACCAGGATTCCTTTATGTCTTTTGTCACAAGGTGGCGACGTTGGAAGCAAGAAATATGATGGAGACCGGGGACAGAGCAGCACCCTAAAATGCTGACATTTGCCACACTTTGGAGAAAATAATAAATCATGTATAAACTGTGATCTGTATATTTATGTGAATATCCATGTACTGACTTTAACTGTAAAGCAATTAAAAGAAATGTCAGCCCAGGACTATAAATCTCCTAATCCAATATAATCCTTGAATTATAACCATTATAATCCTTTCAATATAAACATTTTGGTGGGAATTCAACACACCCGTACACACCTTTCACCATATCAAATTCATTAGGTAAATAAGATGAGAAATAATTCTCTTTCCTTTCTAGGATTTTCTCTCCTTATGGTTTTGTTGGCAACTATTTTTAAAGAAATATATGGAAGCAATTACAAGATCTTGTTAAAAGAGTACCAAAGTATGTCAGCAGCATGAGTTCCAAGGTAACAGCAGTTTTCTGCCACAGACCAAGCAGAGAAAATTTAAGACACAAATCTTGTTATTAAAATGGATCTGTAAGCTTATTAGCTCTGAACAGAATCAGGCATCCATTCAAAGATGCTTTATGCAGAAAACCAGCAGAAGGTCATTATTCACAAAGCCATAGAATCCTTAAGGCTGGAAAAGTCCTTTAATCTCAATCACCAAGCCCGATCCCCGGCCCAGCACCACCACCGTGTTCACCATTAAAACCCATCCTCAAGTGCTGTATCCATGTGTCTTTTGAAGGTTTCCAGGGATGGTGACTCCACCACTTCCCCGGGCAGCCTGTTCCAATGGTTGGCCATCCTTCCAGGGAAGGATTTTTTCCCTAATGTACGACCCAAACTTCCCCTGGTGGAACTGGAGGCCATTTCCCCCATCCTTGCTATGCCCTCCTTCCGAGCAGTTGTAGAGAACGATAAGGTCCCCCCGAGCCCACTTTTCTGCAGGTCACACAGCCCAGCTCCCTCAGCCACCCCTCACAAACCCGCCGCGTTTGCTCCCACTGCTGCTGAGGAAGCTGCTGCGGCGGGGAGCGCCTCACACCAGCGCCGGCCCCTGCCAGCCCCGCTGCGGAGGTGCCGTACTCCACAAGCCCACGCAGAATTTTCTCGGGGATGCACCGAGGACAGGCACAAACAATTAAACCACCACACGACAGCGCTGCCTGAGACCTCCGGGCGAGGCGCGGAGAGGGCGCTGAGACGGGACTCGAACCCTCCATCTCCGCTGCACCCGCCACTGCGCGCCAACTCAAACAAAACCCTCCTCCCAACCACCACCGCGGCGTGACAGCACTTCCGTAAACATCGCGAAGGGATGACTGACAGGCTCGGCGGCCAATCGCGATGCGCGGAGTGGTGGAGGGGGCGGGAGCCCGCGCTGGGCGGCTGAGGTGGCGCGCGGCGGGAAACGGCGGCGCGCGAGCCGGGGTGTCCCGAGCTGGAGCGGCCGGGAGGCGACCCCGGGAACGGCCCTGGGAGCGAGAGCGGCGCCCCGAACCCGATCCCTTCCGTGCAGCCACGCCGGGCGCGGGCGCTTCTGCGCGTCCTGAGGTGTAGCCTCTCGGGAAGCTGCTGTGCGTGCTGAGTGCTGTTTGGTGCCGCTTTCCGCGTGAGTCTCTTAACGGTGCTGCTAAGTCTTGAGCATGCGGAGCAAAACGTACTCTTTTTTTTTGTTTGTTTTGTTTATTTCCCCCCCTTTGAATAGCACAAGGTAATAAGTGCTTTGTTCTACCGTTTTATATTTAGGAGTGTTGCTACAGCTTTCCGATGGGGGTAAAAACAGCTGTCAAAAGATATGAAACGAGAAGTAAGACAGCCGGGACAGAACTGGCATCACCCAGGTCCCGAGTGGATTGGAGACGCACTAGAAGGGCGCTCATACTGCTGGACAGCAATGACGAATCCTCGGCCGCCTCGGAGGAGGAGGAGGAGTCTGCCACATCCGAAAGTGAAATAAGTGAAAAAGACCCGCCGGCTGTGGAGGGCAGTGCTGCAGATCGGGAGGAGAAAGAGCCCAGGGGGGAAGCAGCAGAAGATGGTGACGATGAGTGCGTTGTGCCTGGGAAGCGAAAGAGGTGGAGCAGCTCTGTCATGTACGACAGCGATGAAAGCGAGGGCAGCGACATACTTGTTAGGAAGGTTTCTGCCAAACGCCGCTGCATAATGGATGACGATGAGAGTTCTGAAGAACAGCAGCCTGATAAAACATGCCCTACAGAGGATGTTTCTGCTAGTAGGAAACAGAAAGTGCTTGCAAAATTGAAAGAACTTGTAAGACAAAGTGCAGTTCGGAGATCCTGCAGCAGTGCAAATTGTGAGGTCAGGGTTTTATCTCTGAAATTTAATTGGACGAAATATTTAATCTGAGTAAAGGTTAAGAGGTACAAATCAGTGGGATTTTTTGGGTTTGAATGCATGACAGATTAGTAGTTCTGTAATATTTATCAGTCACATTAACTGCTGACAATCTGTGAAATTATTCTTACCAGGAAGCAGAATACCTGTTGAAGTGTCTTAGAGATCTCATGTTAGCTGAATTCCTAGAAGTAGACTGAAGAGGGGTACATGGAAATAGCTAATTTAAAGCTGAAAGTACAGAATGATGGGGTTTTTTTGGAAATGTGTGCTTTCTTGTTAATTGAACAAATGGTGTTATTAGATAGTCAGAAGTTTTAGCTGGTGTATGTAGTATTTTGCCTGTGCAAATACTGAAAATTTTTGTGATTGAAGTACTTTTTAAAATTTAATTAGGATTCTAATAGTGAAGCAGCAGTAGAAGAGGAACCATTCTGTCAGTTGCCCCTCACACCATCAGAAGGGAGTGAAACTGATGGTGACAGCATGAAAGATTTTGTAGTAGAGGAAGAGGAAGACGATGATGGTGATGACATTGACAACACAGAGCATGTGAAGAATGAGAATCAGCCACATCAAAAGCAACCAAATCCATCAAACAGCGAGCTGCTGGCACACTACATCCCACAGTGTAAGATCAAAATTAGTGATAATTTTTCATGTCTAACTAGCTTGCAGTACTGTAATAAAAATTAATGGGCTAAATACAAATGTTAAGGAATAGGATATGGTATTTAAAAGCAGATACTTAAAAGGTTTCAATTTATTATGAAAGCATTCTGATTTCCACAGGAAACTTTTGCAGTCTTTAAATATCTAATTAAAGAGAGGGTATAAGTTCAGGGGTAGAAAGTGAAATCTTATTGCACAATTTTTTTTTTTAGTTGGCCTGATTTAGGATGAAGTAGACTGCCTATGATGCATTCATTCCTGGGGAGACCTGAAGGCATCATCCTTCATCCTACAATCTTGTGGTTTATGCTAAGAGCAGCTATGTTAATCTGTCCAAATTCTGTTCTCGCTATGAGTTTGGGGCTTGGGATATTATTTTTTGGATTTTTTTTTGTTTGGTTGGTTTTTTGTTTTGTTTTGGGCTTTTTTATGTATTTTTATTCTGTAGTGGTAAGACTTGGGACCAGAGGTATAGAGGGGTTTCTGACTTCACTGACCAATCTCAGCCGAATTACACAGAGCAAGAAAACTCTTCAAGTTGTTCTTTTATGAAAACCAGTGTCTGGATGGAGCAGAGAGATTTGAAGCAGAACCTTATGCAAGTTATTTTCTTCCATATTTTGTTGTTCAGATGTAGGTATGTGGTGACTGGGCAGTCAGTGCTAGTTGTAGGTAGTCACAAGCATTTGCGGTATTTCTTTCCCAGTGAAGACCTCAGCAGAACTGTATTTGAAAGAAAAAAAAATGAACACAACAACCAAAGTGCAAGCAAAAAACCCATGACCACAACATAAGCTTGGTCTTCTCTGATTTATATTATTTTCTGCTATTTGTTCAACAAATTCTTCACTTCTCTTAGTGTTTGTAGGTCTTACTGTGGACTCTTCTTGCTGGAAGCACATGTGACTTCAGAATATTAAAATTCTGTAGGATCATTGGGATGAGAAGCACAATTTAAAGGCAAAATCCTATGGGTGTGGATGTTGTGCATTGAAATTATTTCTAAATCTATATTTTAGTAACTTTAAAATTATAAACTTAAAATACTGGAGAAGAATTCTTACAGGACTTCTAACGTGACTTACTTTTTTTTTTTTCTGATTTTTTTTCCTTATTTTGGTAAATTTTGGTTGTATTGCTTTCTTCCCAGTATCTCGCTGTGATCATTATGAACACTTCAAAAGAATAGTGAAGGCTTTCCTCATAAATGCAATTGATGACACTTTTCTGAGCTCATTATATGGTAAGTAAATTTCATTAAATAATATATTAATGCATTCAAAGTTATACAAAGCCATTTGTTCTAGGGAAGGGTGTTTCTCCTGATCATAGAACTGAGGGTCCTGAAAACTGTGATTTTCCTGCTGTGTAACTTTGGTGGGGGAGAGCAGAGAGGACTCTATCTGAAAATGATACAGTAATCTTGGAAAAATGTGTAGACTTAATTCTTGAGCACAGAAGGCTTTAAATGCCTTCTTGAGACGTAGGAATGTGTTTCTGTGTTACTAATCAGTAGTAACCTTTCCAACATGAAAACCAAATTAGTTTCAAAGCAGATATCTCAATGAAAACATTGCAAGGTCAGCTGGTTAGTCAAAATCTCTTGTGCTTCACAGCTTTTTTTCTTAGGAATTTGATAGATAAGAAATGCTTTTAGTTACGGAGATGACAATATCGTATTTTTTTCCTTTTTTTTTAACATATCGGATAAATAAGCTTTAGCTGAAGTCAGTACTTGTCTTATTCTTTCTGAGGAAGTGCTTTTTGGCATTTGGCCTAGTGGGGCTGAATAACAGCCTCACACATAGTTTCATGAGCACTGTGAAGATGGGATTAAGGAGGGGACTCTCGGTGTCAGATTATGGAAGGAGTTAGTGAAATGCCAAGAGTGGAGGATTTGGTGTCATCAGGAACTAAGAGGGAATGGAGAAACTGAAGTACACCACAGATCTCAGAATAAAGGCTGTATTCTCTTGGAGCTAAAAATGTCTTTCATCTACCACTGCTAGTTCTTTCGGGTGTTTGGTTTGTTTTGTTTCGACGAGTAAAAACAAGCCTTTGAAAAGTAATAAGTAAACACTGCCAGATTCATGTTGTAATAGCTTCCTTCTATTTCAAATGATATCTGCTCAATAAAATGTAACAATTTACTGCCAAGTTGCTGAAAGTAAATGAGCTCTGCAGTGAGCTGGAGGTTGGTACATGAACATTGTATGAACGTAGCCTAGTATTACAAAAATGTATTTTTGTAATGTAGAATGGATTGTTCTGAGTTAATTCTGGAAGTGAATCTCTTCATTAGTTTTGACTGAAGAGTAGCTACTATAGTATTGGAGCTCACACTTGCTTTTTTTTGGGAGGGATTTTGTTTTGTGATCTAGCACAGCCTCTTCAAGCTCATACTGCAAATGTGTGTGTAAAGTGAATATGGAAAAACAGTTAATTGCAATTATGGTGGCTATGACAATTAACTACGTTTATATAAAAAGCTGGATAGCCAGTGGTCCTTCTCAGGTCTGCCTTTTTTTGCATTCTGTGCTTTGCTGGAAGGCATGGGAAGGTAGCTGAATTAAGTTTTATGTCTGTACACACTGAAGTTCCAGGGCAGTGTGCATTGGCCTCCATCTGTGGAAGTCATGTTTAATTCCTGGAGTCCAGCATGTGTTTGGGAAATAGTAGCAGTAGTAGTTACTCATCCTCCTGCTTTTTTATTTATTTTGGTTGAGTAAGTATTTGGAAGTACTTATGCTAACTCAAGGCATCTGACTGCTACTGAAGTAAAGGTCAGTTTCTCTGTGATCTTTATAAGTGACAAAGAGAGTTGTCAAAATTTCTACTCTGAAGTAGCTCGGAGCAGTTTGTTTCATGGATTCCAACCACTTCCCTTATACATTTCAAACAACTTAAACAGGTTGGTTGAAAAGCACGACATTCCTCTACATGCTTCCTCCTTTTCTGTTGTTTTAAATAGGATTTGAGTGAATGGATCTCCATTTGGGATGAGAGCTTTTAGCTTGATTGTAGAATTTATTCTTGTACCCCTTTTAAATAAGAAAATATATCCCTTTAGCAAGATGCATGGATTGCGTGGATCACTTTTATGGGTAACAGTAGCAAATCTATTCAATGACAGTTTAGTAAAATCATTCATAGTTCTTGGTATGCAGAAGCATAATGTCCTTGAAAATTTTATCTAAAGATCTTGTACAACATAATGTGGTCAGCAAATTAGTGATGATTCTCACTGAACAGATGGAACAAGACGAAAGAAGTATGCACAAGATATGCTGATCTCACTTCATTATTTGGATGACCGCTTCATTCAGCCTCGTCTTGAGAACTTAATCTGTAGAAGTCGCTGGAAGGATCGATACAAGGTTATGTAGATTATACTTTAAATGCTGAAATTCTCTGTAAAGGTGCAACAATCACTATAATTACATATCCTTTTTAATAGTAACTATTGTTCCTTAACTTAAATAATTTGGTTTGGTGCTTATATAAATATCAGAAATATTTTACATGTTGATAACCAGACAAACATTCAGGTAGCAGAACAGAATCTGTTCTCAGCTACCAGAATGTGTCTCCTGCTAACTTCAGCAGTTGACATTTGAGGATTTTTTTGTCACTTGCTAAACATTCTAACAAGATATTTTCCTCCTCCCACAAAAAGGTAAACAGTATGTTCATTGTGAACCTTCTACAACTAAAAAAATAAAGTCAGTATAGAGCAATTAGTTATTTTATGTATATTACTAGAAGAGAATTACTGTCATGGGTGTCATGATTTAATGATCAGTGTGATAACGAAATTTGGACATCTTTCATTTCTCTTGGACTAATTTTGTGTGAGTACAGAGTACTCAGCAGCCTGTTAGAGGCATTGTTCAGTTTACAGAGGTTCTTTAAAGTTACTTGAAATCTGTTTTTCAGGAGCGTGTGGATTGTTACCCAGATGTTCGCATAAGCTTGCAAAATGCAGAAAATATGTCTTGTCAGGCCTGTGAACTGAAGCGGTGGTGTAAGTTCAATGTGTTGCTCTCTGGAAGGCTTTATAATAGTAGAACTTTGGAAGTGGATGACTTCATGTCAAATGATAAACAGGTAATTTCAAACCAGCATTGTATTTTTGAGTTTTAATTTTAAGTTTTTATTTTATCAATAAAATAAATCAAATGCTTTTCTATGGCCTTTGGTATTGCCTGCATCACAATGACTCTTGTGGTGTTTCCTCCCCACATCTACTCCCTAATGAAAAAGCCCTTCCTTTATCCTTGTGTGTGCCTATAATGCCCTTAAGACTTTCCCAGCAGGAATCTTGCATTGATTGCTGGTCAGAAACATTGTAAAAGTAACTTTCTGCATGAGGGACAATCATTGCCATTGAATGATTGTGTTTTCTGTTTTGGTGCAGGTAAGGTTTGTTCAACATTGGGTCACTAGGTTTACTAATTCTGTGCCTGCTCTGCATCTAGCACTTGAAAGGTCCACGTGCACTCCAACAGTTCTTGCTGGCTCTAGGTTCAAACACTGAGTGAAACAGTGCAATGGTCATTCTAACAGTCCAAGTGTGACCTTGTCAAAATTTATTGCTTCATTCTTCAGATTTTTTCCCACATCTGCTATTTCCCATGTAGCTGTTCACTCAGAACAAATTATCGTGGAATCTCAGATGGATTTACACTTGCTGATCTCCTTTCAAGAAAACTTGTTCCTAGCTACATCAATACATTTTATTAGAGCCTTTTCCCCACTACTGCGTTATCAGAATTACTTATCCAAACTAGAGAACACTTTCATTTAGGTAGTCTTGCATCTATTTCTCCCTCAGTTGTCATTTCTAGAACATATTGGATTAGATTTTATTTTTTTTAACTAAAAGGCATCTTTCATGTTGTTACATAATGTTCCATTAGGCAGTCATTTTAGGTGATTTAAGAAGTCACTTAAAATAATTTAATAATAGCCTAATACAATTTTATTTCACAGCGGAGCCTTTTGAAAACCTTGACTCTCAAGAACCTGGGTGTTTCTCATATTTAGAGATATTCCCTTCAAAATTACAGCTACACATAATTGTTATGATTAGGTATGCATATAACCTTCAGTAATGCAATTCATGACCTCTTATGATAAATTCAAAGCACTTGATTTGTCAAAAATAAAATATTGCTACAGTTGTTTTACCAAGCTGATATCCAAGTTCTGCCTTTCTTCCCTTTCAGGAGACACAGATGGTATTTTATTTGTGAATGTAAAAGAATTTTTGAATGCAGCTGAAGTTCCTCACAGTATTTGTTGAAAATAAAAAAGTTTCAGAACCAGGGTTTTTTAAACTATATTTGGTAATAAGGTATAATAGGATTTCTTAAGTAAAAATAAAGTGAAGCCCTTGTCAAACAAGAAGTATACCTTACTGAAACTCAAACCTGTATTGTTTGGGTGTTTGCAATAACTTACAGATTTGTCACCATGATTAGCATTTTGTCGTCATACAGACTCTGCATGTAATGCCGGAGCTTGAAAATCTGTGACAGAGTTTTTCTTATATTACAGACCCTTCTGAGCAGCAGTTGCTGATACTCTATTTTGAAAAGTATGTATGTGCATGATAGTGAAGAAAGCTAGGCTTTTCCAGCAATGCTTTTCCCCTTTTAAATCCTGTTTATTGGAGGAAAACAGTAAGTCCTCTGCAATCATCCCAGCACTGATACTACAATCTGTCATAGTCATTCTTCCTTACATACAGATCACTAATTTAAAAATACTCAGTTTTTCATGGGAAGTGTGTACCTTACCTAACCAGAAATAATTAGTGAACTAGCACAGGAATTTAATCTTTACCTAACTTTCAGCTTAACTGTGGAAATAACAGTAGCAATTCCTTCACTGCTGACCAAATGTTGTCCTGCATAAAGTGTTGGCTATTTTTCACTTTGGAAAAAACTTGAAATATCCTATAGAATACTGAACTAACTTGCTGGTTCATTTTTGTCCTCTTCGGCTTAGCAGTACAAAATGAGAGCTTTTTTTACCGTGTGTACACCAGCATCTGGGGACGTCTGCTATGTGCCTGCTCAGTATAGCTCAGTGGCTGTTAAGGAGGCTCAGGAGACAGAGTAATTGAGCACTTTCCAGTCATTTTTGATAGTGTCTTGTAATGCAACATTTGTGTTCTTATGGTGACCTGCAGTTTAGACTGCTAAAAGTACTGTTCTCAAGTTGTCTTTAAAGCTCTGCTGGCAATGCACTGAGCAACTTGTCCTGCCAATTTAGAAAAAAATATAAAAGAAAAAGAGGCTCACAGAGCTACATAAAACTGCCATTTCACAAGCCTAATTGACTGATAGAGAAGGCAGTTCAGTACTGACAGATCAAATTGAACAGAAACACATAGTTGGACTATTTTCTATAGATTTGTTTGAAAATACCCGAGAAAAGTGGATGTGAAGAGAACAGAAACAGACCTCCAACCTCCTTCTTCTGCGTAAAACTTTCCTTTTCTCTCATCTCTGAAGTATTCTGCTTTGCCAGTAGAAAGAGAAGAGAAACAGCTGTTCCAATTTTGCTTAGGCTTGCAGTGATTGTTCACTGTTTAGGTGCCAATTCTCATTTCCCCTGATCAGGGAGAATCACAAGGGTTAGAGGTATAAGTGTCCTCCACACTTCCTTATGTCACCTGGATTATAAACTCAGACTTGGTGTTCTGTTTATAAACATGCTTAGAAGACATGGATTCAGTCACCACATATTGAGCTATTGTCCAACCATGCTCCTGCATTCCATACAAAGTAATTTAACACAACTTTGGCTGATAGGGCCAGCTTGAGTAGATAAGTTAAGCATTAACACAGAGGGACTGAGGACTGTGAGGGGAAAAAATTAGAGTACAGTACTGAGATTCTTTCCAAAGCTGCATTCTGAAATAGCATTGTATTTTTAGACTATCTTTCTTGCTTAAAAACACAATACATAGTTACATTTATATGATATTTAGCTATTTGCCTTTGGCATTTCTCCACATTGCACATAAATAAGCTATGAAACTCACTGCCACAGGATATTTTGGAAGGGAAAAATACTATTGGGTCCCAAAATGAATTAGGTTCTTGGGAAAGGTTCTTTCACACTATGGAACATGATATTTGGCATGATACAGATGATCTTAACTCTTGACTGCCAGAAAATGTGCAGTAGTCTTATGACCATTCTAATGTTTGTGCTGGATCTTACACTAACTTCCTACATATCTCCTGCTAGCTGTTGTCACAGGGGAGAAAACTGGGCCATCAGTTTGATGTAAGATTGTAAGATGGTATCTCCTATTTTATATCACATAATGTTCCAAATGCCACACCTCATTGCTTGGGATACTTGAAAAGTTGTGCAATGCCCTATGAAATACTGCAGCTCAGTTCTTCATTGCTGCAGTATTTGAAATGGTCATTCTGGAAATTTGAATTTATCAAGGCTCAGCATTAGCTGGTAGGTCTTGCACTTCAAAAGCACCTGCAGCACCAAACACAAGCCTTGTTTTTTCAGTTTTGGGGATACTAACAAATGGAGCTGTATACAGGCACAACATTTACATGATCAATAGAGACTTAAAATATAGTAATAGGCATTTTTTATCTTAAAACGTTTAAAATTTCAGTTAATAACAATTTACTGTAGGTCAGATAAAAAGTTCTTTTGAGTGTGTCTCTTTTGACTTAACTGATACTATGCCTGGTGATACCCACTGATCTGCTGATAAATATGTTTAAGAAATTAAGATATATTCATATAGTTAAGAGAACATATAACTAACACATGTAAATTCCATTTACATAATCTTTAAAAATGCATTTTTCTGTTACTTTCATTGTCAGCAGATAGAGCTGGTGCTAGGTTGCACAGGTAGGTCAGGTGTTCTGGAGAGCTGCTCACAGATGCAAACATTTGGTCATGCATTCAGAAAAGCTCCCAGAAAATGTAGGTTTTAAGCATTAATTAAAGTTTAACCTTCTTGTAATATGAGAGTATTTGGATTATTAGCAATAAAAGGTATCACTTTTTTGGCACAGAAGAAATAGATTTGCAACTTAAAATTTAGTTGATTCTTATATATATCTACATGTAATGTAAAACAACAATGCAATTGCAGCTAGCTTTCATTACTAGCGAAGAGAACTTTAGCCATTTACATACTTGTTTTGGAAAGGTGTGATGAGACATCAGTCCAAAACAGGCATATTTGACCTCTTGTTTACCTATAAATACGGCTGTGAAATAAGTCAGTTCCATCTTTTCTGCATGGAAATCATAGAGATAAAACCGGTAATAACTGGGAGATGCAGAGGCTTTGTTTTCTGCACCATCATAGCTTAGCTGTTCCTCCCAGACAGTTGCAGATTAATGTTTGTATTGTATAAAGCTTCAAGTTCAGATTTCATTTTTTTAAAATTCATCCTCTCCATTTATTAAGTGCTGTAAGGTGTATGCCTAATGTGTTTTTATGTATTTCTTGAAGAAATATTTAATATCATTCAGTCTACAAAATGTTAAAACTGGTATTTCATCTCCCTAGGAAGTACTTACATATTAAGCAAAAGTAAGCAAATAGATCCTCTTCCTCTGCTTTCACAATGTGATGGTTGTCTAAAGTGTTGGTGATTTTGTAACAAAGTTCCACCAGGCGATAGGAAAGATATAACCAATTACAAACATGATTGTCTTTGCAAGAGGTCAGCACTGATAAGCTGCCATTGCTTCGACTTGCTGACTGCCTACTTGCTCAAAAATCTTTCTGCTGTGACTGTGAAAACTACATGGGTTTGTGCTAATTTTATGCATGTAGTGTCATTCTGTTTATTTCATTATTCCAAACAATTTCCTGGACTGACTGATTAAATCTTACTCAATTAGCCCACCAATTCTGTATATTGTAAAGATAATCATGGTTCTATCCAAGGGAATAATTTGTTTGCTCTGGCCTAGGTTTTGAAGGTTGGCATGGTGTGTGCAAATCGTACAAGAGTTTATCACAACTTGAAACACTTCAAGTACAAGTTATACATGGCTTGCAGCTCCATTGTTGAATTGGATGGTGTTGAGGATGAAGCAGTCAAAGACACTGTGGAGCGTCTTTTCAGCCACTTGGAAGAGACTGGGTGGATTCAGAAGGTATGACTGGATTATTCCCTGTATTCTTTTCCAAGCAGATGAAAGTAAGTTCAGATAAAATGTCTGATTTAATGGATCAGTTCTGAGTTACTGTTCGTCAGTAATACAACTCAGCTCAACCATTCCCCCATTTCTGCTGACCCAGTGTTTCAAACAGTTTGTATCAGCTTTTGACATGAAGCTTTTTGACAGCTGCATGATCTCTGGGCTGTGGTGGGCAGGCCCCTGGTTCATTTAAAAGCAGCAACACAAGAAACTTGAGCTGTAACTTGGAAAGATGTACATGAGGCACAGAAAGAGTATTTTAGAATTCTGTTTACACTGAAGAACTTTTAATTGTTCAGAACCACTTCATGAACTATTTTAAGACAATTTATCTAAATATGTAAAAATTTAGATAAAGTTGCATTTAGTATGCTTTTAGATATAGCTTCTAAATTGTTGGCATGCTTGGTCATGTATTGAACAAGAAAAGCAGTCTTTACATAATATAGTTATTAAATATGGATAAATTGTACAAATTTTATTTCATTCACAGAGATACAATGATCTTGAAAATTACCTGGAAGATGCAGACAATTTTCAAGAAGAGAAAATTGATTAAGAGATCATATAGCTCTTTGAATGACATTTAAAAAATGTGAATGACCTACTTCATCTGTATGCACTTTATCTCTGCCTGGACTTCAAGATTTCTATGTAGGCTATTACACGTAAATTCATATGCCTTTAAATTACTGTTTGATAATGTGCTATATCTTCTTTTTCTCATCTGTGTCAATACAAATCCAAAGTTTTACCAAATCAGTCCTTCCAGTCTTACTGCATTAATCACTTTAAGTTTCCTACTGTTAGACATATCAGTTCAATATCTATTTACCTGTGAAATAAAACTTCCACGTATTCAGATTGAGCTGCATTGTAGAGAACACAGGAGATGCTGAGATCTTTTGCACTGGGTATATTTGGAAAGGTAAGGCTTTGTTATACCAGAACTTAGGACTTGCATCTTACCATCCTTATTGCTCATTATGTGCAAGTAAGTCCAGTCAGTTAGAATGATAGTTACAACAAACAGGACCCAAATGCAAAGATCTATTTCTCCTCTGAGGAATCAGTACAGACAGTTGCAAGGCAACAGAGGAAATATTCTGCAGTCCTGACTGCATTTGCAGCACAGTAGTCATTCCTCTCTTGAGAAAGTAGGTGATGAGTCACAGTATGGGCGTCATACAGACTGAGTCTGGTTTAGCCATCTAAATGAACACATGGGCCCACATTGCTGTCTCTGATAAGTAGCTGGGACAATTTACTGAGATTTTAAACATCAGGTTGCATTGTGCAAATATAATCACAGCAACTTGGAGTAACTGCAGTCCTAAGAGAATGGATTAATATGCCCAAGCAAGATAAGCAAGAATTCTTCCAGTATAACTTAACAGAAAGTAGGACTTAGTCAGAAACAGGATGCGTGGCTTACCAGAATTGCATGAAACCCAAATCAGAGTAGATTTTCAAGGCTTTTGGAAGGGTTAAGTATGGTACTGCCCATTCTGAAAAATTGGACAAGAACTGTAAATGTGTACTTACAGCCCAGAAAGCCAACTGTGTCCTGGGCTGCATCCAAAACAGCATGATCAGCAAGGTGAGAGAGGTGATTCTGCCCCACTGCTGTTATGAAACCCTACCTGGAATGCTGCATCTAGCTCTAGGGTCCTGGCATAGGCAAGACAGGGCATGCTGGAGCAAGTCCAGAGGAGGGTCACTAAATTCATCAGAGGGCTGTCTGTAGCTAGGCTGAGAGAGTTGGGGTTGTTCAGTCTGGAGAATGGAAGGCTCTGGGGGACCATATTGCAACCTTTAAGTATTTAAAGGGGGGCGGGGGGGGGGGGGGGGGGGGCTACAAGGAAGATGGAGAAAGACTTTTTAGTAAGGCCTGTAGTGACAGGACAATAACTTTTAAACTCAAAGAAGGTAGGTATAGATGGACATAGGGGAAGAAATTTTTTACTGTGAGGTTGGTGAGGCACTGGCACAGGTTTCCCAGAGAAGGTGTGGATGCCCCACCCCTGGAAGGGTGTTAGGTCACGATGGGGCTTTGAGATGGGGCTGGTATACTGGAAGATATTTCTGGCCATTATGATCCTTAAAGGTCCCTTCCAACCCAAATTATTCAGTGTTTCTGTCCCTGTATTTTGGGCTGCATATAAAAAGCATCAGATAAAATTAAGGGCACAGTGTTTTGAATCCTACATCTTGGTGTATGTACATACTCTATTAGTCTTTTGTGGCTGGACAACTTAGTGAAAGATACTGTTAACTCTCTGAGTCCTTTTAACATGTTACTCTCTCAGCATCAAAAGTAATGGAACCTGATTTCTCATAGATTTGTCCATGAGAAGTCACCACATTTATTTTGCCACTTTACTGGAAACAAATATCTAGATTGGGTAGGCAACTGCTGCCAGATGTATTGCTTAACAATGAACATCTGCTGCTTTTCTACATAGAGACTATACCTTAGATTTGTCATTCACTACTCTTTTTCGAGCATTCATTGTGAGAAATTAACTGCTTTTACTTTTTTAAGGACTTGAAATTCAGCAATGTTTTAAATGCTATTAGGCTGAGTTAGTAGCATCAGTACTCCTTTGTACCAAATACAGATACAAGATATACAAAACCAAGATGAAAATTCTCAGTAAACAGATTGAGATTTGGTCTCAAGTAAACTTATGTTGAAGATATTCTTTCCATACCTTATCTGTGAGTTAGACACATAAAATTCTGAGGTTTGGTATGTCTTACATCTATCTCCCTGGTTACCAAAGCTGAAGGTTTCTTTCTCTATTCCTTCAGAGGTTTTCTTCTCTATTCCTTCTCCTTCCTCATCTCTGTTCTTCTGGGAATATTGGTGGGAAACGTTAGTTTAAAAGTATTCAGGAATCCATCTTGAATATATCCCTTTCAGGTATTGCTACCTCGCTTCTTTCTGTTAACAAAATCTGTATAGTTTGATTTGCTTCTCTAGAACATAACATTTGGTGTACCTTAATTCTTACAAAGGAAAGCCATTATGAAATGGGTTCTGTAACCATGTAATGGAATATGTCCTCTTAGAGCCTTCCTGACTGGTCCTAATTTTTGCTACCATATGAATTTTCTGAAAACTCTCAAGACTATGACTTAAAATTTTGTCAAAATGAATGGTTGATCTCTCATTTTGCTACATTAAAACAATTCACTACCAAAATAAACAATAAGTTTCTGAGACTCTGGCTTGCTGATTACAGGTGAATCTTGCTGATTTCAAGAATACATACAGTTTGATTGGAAATTGAAATAGTCCATTCTAATTTTTTGATATCCCAGACTTGGTTTTCACCTCCTCTTTATTCAGCTAAAAAGCGTGTGCTATCTACAGCATTTTTTCCCCAGATCATTGTTTTTTCTGTTGCTAGCAGGTATACAAAAGTATTCTGATGGAACTTCTAGGTAGAAAGTGCTTCCATAGGTTTACTAGTCTTAGCTGTGGTATCACCAGTAGGACTAAAAAAATGCTGTAAATTGAAAGCACTCATTTCTGTTTCAGTAAGAAACAGATATGTGATTTGGCATGAGCTGATGTTTTTGTGTGTATTGTGTCTTAAACTCTTGATATTCGCCTCACTGAGATGGGAGGAAGTGATAATACTTTTGTGGCTGTTCTATCTGAAGTGTTTCTAAAAGACAGCAACTATGAAGTGTCATTACATCACTTTTACATTTGTCTTCACCACAGGAAGTTAAAAAATTCTTTAGGATAGAAGAGTAAATATGAAAAAATTTAGATGAAATTTTCCAGGTCTGTCTGCAAATGCTAGTACAGCATGAAGCACAAAGAAGACTCTTACCCCTGAGACTTTCTATATATAGAAAAAAAATCAGTAAGAATATTTCTAGCAGAAAAAAAAATTCTGCAAATACCTAATGATGGGAGAAGTGAGAAATCTGACCAGTCTTTCATGCTTTTTTTTCCACATCAGGGAAGCTGAATTGAGTTAGGAGGTGAGAGAATAAAATGTTTGTTCCAGTAGGATATTTTAAATTGGTTTTAGTGTTAATTTTTGAAGCAGTAGCTCTAATTAAGATAAAGTACCTGTCTTAATGGAACAATGAAGAGAGCTCAGTATGCGATTAGACTTTGCACGGGTGATTAATGATCATACTTGGAAATTACTTTAGTTCCTGTAATGTTTTGATAATCTGCTCTAGTTTAAGTTCTGTAACTAGAGATGGTGATAATGATGAAGCTTACACAAGGTATATATGCACAGGATCAGTCTGACTAACACAATGTACTTCAGGGACAGGAGGTTCTTTTTGGTCTATATTCTGTCCAGTTCTTGCAGTGAAGTATGAAAAGAAACGATTTTTCACCCTCTGTGTCCTTCAGTTTTTGGAAAGAAAGTTGTTTGCTAATAGTAGATAGCTGTTACTGCCACTTTTTCGACAGTGAAGGCTTCTCCTGTTTCCAAAAAGCAGCTATTTTTAGCACTTCAGCAGGCAATTACAGGCAATTCCCATGCTTAACTCCTCTAGTTTACATTTATTTGGATAAATAAAGACTTCTAGTTTTATCCATTTTTAAGTCTGTCTGGATAAACAGAGTGGGCTAGTGTGCATGTGTGCTACACAAACACATGTAAATACAATACTATTCCAAGAGAAATATCCAGCACACACAAGTGGGCTTTAAAAAAGTTGCCTTTCTGATTCTGCTTTGAGAAGAAAGAAATACCAATTTCTAATCTGAATTCAGAGATTAGACAAAAGAATGTATTAGAAAAAGAGATTAGAAAAAAGTATGATCTACCAGCCAAAGAGTAATATGAGAAATATGTGAAATTATATTAAAAGAACCTGATAATAACCCCATCAGTGGCTCCACTTCCCTGGATAGTTGATGTGAATTTTGGTAATTGTCTAGGTAGTAAGTGGTGGCATGGGATTGTTCGGGGTTTCTTCCCCTATTGTTTATTAAATAAGATATGAACACAGTTTCCTTGGATTATTATTAGTTTAAAAAAAAAAAAAAACCTCCCAAAAAACAAAAACACCAGAAATGCTCTGTTCAAAATTTCTTACTTTACAGTTTTAACAGAGCAGCAATTGCAAGCACCTTGTGCCCAAAGTTTAAAGATGAGAAAACTGACTCAGGTCCAGCCAGACTCTGCTTCAAAGTTAAACAATTTGCCAGGTGAGCAGCATCACACATGAGCCTAGCTGGGAATACCCCAGGAAATCAAAATGGCAAAGGGCAAAGAAAAGTAAATAATGGAAATGGCTGAAAATTCAAAGCTCCAGTTCAGAAAGTCCTCTGTAGGATTGATACAAAGTATATGCCTTTCCAGTAGAGTTAATGTAACTTAGAAGCAATATGATATGTGATTTCTAAACACAGATGAACGAGGCATGTGCTGAGACTGAAGCATGCACTCGAGATTTTAGGTGACAAAGGTTCAGAACAGTCTTTTTGTTCCATTTTTGGCAAGTTATTAGCATGATGGGATGTCTATGGTGAGAATTCCTGTCTGTGAACCCAGCACAAATATGTGCTTTTCTCATCTGGAGGGGGCTGCTGCTTTGGGAAACTCAGAGCTTCAGCAGCAGTAGGGAATTCAAACAGAAAAAATGCTCAAGCATGACAGTTCTTGTGAGATTACAATGTCAGGTAAAAAGGTCACATTAGTGTCAACAGAAGGAATTAGTGTCAACAGAAGGAATAAAGTAATTAATTGTTCAAGAACCTGTTATATTTTATCCTGAGTGTGCTTATGAGAATGCCACCATCGCAAGGGATGTTACAACGTGTTAAGAACCATTTGTTTTTAAGAAAATTGACAAATGACCTGTCCAAAACTGACGGCGGTATCCAGGGGTTGGTGACACTCGGCAGTGTCTTCTGAACAAAACTTGGGAAGACGAAGGGTGGCTGTGGAGTATTTCCTGCTCGGAAACACCAGGGGCAGCATTTGCTGCGGATTGAGCGAGCGGGGCTCGCAGCGCAGCCCCGCAGCCGGCTGCCTCTCGCCTCGGAAGGGAGAGATCAAACCGCAAACCGAACTCTCGAGATGCTGCTTGGCAAAAAGCGCATCTTAAACGTCTCAAGTTAAAATGAAAAAAAAAAATCTTTGTTTGGAAAGATCACTCTCTGAGTTCTATGTAATCTTGTAAGAGAGAGAGAGAAAATTCCTCCAGCTGTCTTGGTAGGTTCCGGAGCAGCACCATGGATTTCATATTCCCGCAGCCACTTTTTGAAAAACACAGCTAAGCAATCATTTAAAACACTCTCGCTTATTCACCATGAGATTTGTGTGTTACTGTTGCACGTGTGCTCTGTAACTGACCCCCTTAAACACAGCAATGACATCTGAGCTGTACAAAACAAAAGCCGAAGCAAGGCCTGAAGCAAAGGTAACACTGTCTACTATTTTACAAACATTATAATATCATTTTATTTTCCAGCTGTGCCAACCCACTGTTCTCAACAGATTCAAGCTACTGTTACATATCAAATAATAACCCACTCTTCCTCAGTCGTTCAAGGTTAAACAACAACAAAAAACTCTTTTTCCTGTTAGCAATAATGCCTTCCTCTGAAGGCAGCACAGCCCCAAACCTTCTCCCACCTTATCCCTCAGCAAAGTCTGAAAGCATTTGCTAAGACAAACATGGGGCTGAATGCACTGGAGGCTCTGTCTGGTGCTCACCAAGAACCTGGAAACCCACATCTTGCAACAAAACCCTCGTGTTTGTTGCCACATGAAGGAGATGGGGGTCATGAAAGTGGGGGGTTTTATATTTCCCATATGTCTAATGCTGCATATCTTTTATATTCTAGGGGATTTTCCAGGAATGTGTCAGTTCATCACTGACATTCAAAGTATTTATTTGCATGACCTTGGAAGGGGATAAAAACACCTGAGAGGGTTATTGTCAGCTCCTCCTTATCCTCAGCTTCATGGTCTCAGTATGCGGAGATGAAATTTGTGTATTTTTCTGACGGGACCCATTGCAGAACTGAAAGAGATAATGCACCCATCTACTAAGGGCTGTACAGTCCCAAAAGACCTTGGAGGATTTCCATCAGGGATGTGTCTCTGCGTGCTTGGGGGCCATTTTATTCCCAGAGGTATGTGGGAATTTGGCTAATGCAGCCACAGTAGAAGAAGAGCATATTGCTTTAATAAAGCCGGCCAGCTCCCAGCTATTTCTGCATCCTCCTTTACAGCTCACCTACAATAACACGCAGAACCTGACGGCTGCCAGTTGCAGCAAGGCCAGTTCCAGAGGCCAGATCTCGCAGTCTAAAATTGCCCTGCTCTAAATAGAGGAGCCGGGCGAGAGAAGCACTAAGCCTGCGGCTTTCCCGGGGAGGAACCACAGTGTAGGCGCTACGTGACTTGCCCCGGACACCCAAGAAGCTCCTGTCAGCGCACGGAGCTCCCACATCCCGAGCCTGACCTCGTGTCGTGCACTCGTCCCGAGCATGCGAGCGCCCTAGAACGCACTGCTTGTTTTTATACCGTCTGTTCCAGAGAAATCCAGCTGGTAGAGGAGCGCAGCGCCGTGATTTATTTGAGAACCCCCTCGTACTCGCCTGAAGGTCTCACCGCCGAGGGAGGAGGGAGAGCGCGGGAGGCTGCGCTCCTCGGCAGCTGCTCCGCGCCCGGCCCGGCACCCAGGTAGAGGGCGAGGAGGGGAGCGGGGATTTCCTTGGCGTCCTCCCATGCACATACCTCCCGGGGAGCGGCAGCGGCAGCCCGACTCCCCTCGGCGGCCGCTGGGAGGCTCCGCGCCTCGCCCCGGCCTCCCCGGCCGCGCTCTCTGTCGGTGACACCCGCCTCCCGCCCCCGCTCCGCTCCGCGCCGCGCCGCGCCGCGCCGCACGGAGGGGCCGCGGGCAGCTCCGGCACCGGCAGCGCCGACAGCCCACCGGCAAACACCCGCCCGCCGGCGCGGGCATGGAATATACAAAAACACAAAGGAAAAGTGGCTGCTGGACTGTTCTGGGGGCAAAATGCTGGAAGTTTGTAAGTGCAACTCTCCGTTTGTAATTACTGTCTGAAGAGGGGCTGGGTTGCTTGTTTGGGGTTTTTTCCCCCTCTTCCCCTTCTCCCCCCTCCTCCGTGCTTTTCTTGAAACTGTACTTGAAACTGTTCGATATCTGGGAGTAAAAGGGAAAGTACGCGAGAGGAGTTCTTTGCCTGTGTCCGTAGCTTGCTGCTTAATACTAAGGGGGGAGATGAGCACTGAAAGCAATACGGATTTATCCAGTGGCTGAATTAAGTGAAGGCGAAGCGTGGTTTGGAAGCCCACTGACTGACATTGTTCCGGACCGGGGAATCTGTCTCTCTGCTTTTTAGAGGAACTACAGTTTAGCGGCAGCCAGCCGGACACAGTCACCACGCCGCAGAGTGGCCAGCAAGGAGCGGGCGAGAGAAACGAGAAAGCACAAAGACTAAACTAACCCGACCCTCCTCCTCTTTCTCCTCCTTCCCGGCTCTTTATTTGCACATTTACTAAAGACTTAAAAAAAAAAAAAAAAAAGGAGAGAGAGAGAGAGCGAGAGAAACCCCAACAAACCCACTCCAGCTAACCTACGAGATTTTCGGTCCGCCGGGGGTTTCTCCGCGCCGCCGACCACGGCAATGCCTTAAATTTTCACTTCAAGGAATAACACCCCCCGCTCCCCCGAAATAAAATAAACCCAATAAACCTGCCAAGTCTCACTCATTCCCGACGGAGAGCTCCTTCGTCCTGGGATTCATTTTGAAGGCAGCGGCTCGCTTTATTTGGCTTTTTTTTTTTTTTTTTCCCCCCTCTCCTCCCCCGCCCCCCATCCCCCCCGCCCTTCTCCATGCGGCAGTGAGGACCGACCCATCCGGAGGGCCAGGACCGGCAGCCAGCGATGGGCGACACGGCTCCCCCCCAGGCCGCGGGGCTGGGGGCCGGGCTGCTGGGGGGGGGCCCGGCGGCGCCCCGGGTGCACAGCGCCATCGTGGAGCGGCTGCGGGCCCGCATCGCCGTCTGCCGCCAGCACCACCTCAGCTGCGAGGGGCGCTACGAGCGGGGCCGCGCCGAGAGCTCCGACCGCGAGCGGGAGAGCACCTTGCAGCTCCTCCACCTCGTGCAGCAGGGGCAGGGCGCCCGCAAGGCCGGCAAGCACCCCAAGGCGGCCGCCGCCGCTGCCGCCGGCGCGGCGCCCCCGGACTACCACCAGCACCTCCTCGGCAACGGCGGCATCAACGGGGAGCAGCCGGCGGGGGAGCAGCGCGCCTCGGCGCTCCTGGCGGTGAGTCACAGCGCCCGCTGCCGGCGGGGAGGCGCCGCGCCGAGCCC